AAGCACTGGGTGCAGTCAGAAGCGCGGGAGGGTGAGAGAATTCACCAGAGCCAGAGCGGGGAGCAGAGCAGGCAGAAGGACCGAAGTACACTGCTGAGGGGAGCAGCGGGCGGCAGGAGAGGTCTGCGCGCCATGTGGGACCCTCCTCTGGTGGCCGGGGAGCAGCCGGGGATCGAACCTGTGTCGCAGAGGCCGCGGGCAGCTTCGCAACCCAGCGCTCAACCGCTGCGCCACCAGGGAGGCCCTGATGGAGCTTTCTTACCACAGAGCTTAGAAGAGACTGCAGGGGAGGTGGGCAGAGATGGGGACACAGGATGGACAACTGCTGTGACTGCTGAGGCCTGGAAATGAGGGTGCTCAGCCAAGTAGGGCTGCTGTAGGAGGTTCTGGTCCTAGAAAGAAAAACCTACAACTCTGATGGACTAGGTGTGGGAGTCGGGGGTGACAGAGTCCTCTGGGATGATTGCAAGGTTTCTGACCTGAGCAACTGGAGGGAAAGCTGTCCCCGAACGGATTAGGAGATGAGGCAGGAAATGAGCATATTTGAAAATGAAACAGGGCACAAAGAGAGAAGTGTTTGATGTGAAAGCCTCCTGGACAAAGGAGCCTGGGAGGAGTGGGCCCTGATGCATTGAACATGGGAGGCCAGGGGGGCAGCCCAGGCCTTGGTGAATAATGGAGGAAGCTGAGCCTTTGATGAGGCACAGCTACTGGCAGCTGGGGTGGGTAACAGTTCAGTGCCGGGCGCCTCCAAGAATCTCAGGGGCCCTTTCCCCAGGTAGAGTTTCTCTGTTCCAGTAATGCTGCCACTGTTCTAGAAGCTCATAACCTCTGTAATATGACTTCTACCTAGCAGGACTTCCAAAACCAGCTTTCCTGCCAGATTGTCCCTTGACCTGTGTCCACACACCTCGGGGGATGGGGGAGGAGGAACGGTCCTTCCGTGGCTGCGATGGAAGGAAGTCAGTCTCGTCTGCTAAATACTCCCTAGTGCCCACTCAGGCTTCCTGGAGACTGGGAGCAGGTAGAGGCCTCCCCTGCCCTTACATTGAGGCCCAGGGGACCCCAGATGAGAGAAGTCCAGAACTGTGCCGCAGGGTGAAGCTTGATTCATCTTTTGCTCTGCCATAATTTGTGGCTTACCCAGCACCCTCTAAATTTCACTCATCTACCACCTACCACTCCGTCATTCTCCCCTCTCCTTCTGCCTACACACATGTCCAAGACCCATGTGATCATATAACGGTCCTCTGTCCCCTCCATCCACCCTCACCTCAGAGCGAATCTGAAGCTTAACCTCCCAGCCACAATTGTGGTTGGGACATGTTCCCTGCCCTCTCTGAGTCTCAGCCCCACAAGGCCCTGTAAAGTGGAGGGGGTGAGGTGGTTAATCTGTATCAACCTAGGAGCCATTGTTGGGTGCATTACATGACACTTAGTGACACACCCTGGAAACAGCTGGTGTTGGAGGGTGACATTTCCCTTCACTTCCCTCCTCTCCAGGGTAGACGAGTCAGCTTCCTCTCTGACACCCCAGACACCCTGTCCTGGCCCCCACATGGAGGCCCCAGCACCTCCCTGCTCCTCTCTAGTCCTGCTGGCAGCAGGATGGAAGGAGACTGGCAGTGGGTGGAGAAGAGAGCCCCAGCTAGGGAACCAGCATCTGCTGCTTCTCCTCCATGATCACTCCAGCCTGGAGCCAGCGAAGCGCTGCTCCCTGGGGAAGGAGCCGGAGGGGAGCAATGAACACTTAGGAAAAAGGAACTCAAGTCTCATGGAGGAATTTTAGGCAGCAGTTCATGGGTGAGGGGAGAATGTTTACTGAATCATATTCCTGGCAAGGGCCTTCACTGTAGAAGTCTGGACAATCATAGGGCATGCTTGTAATTGTTATGACTTCTGTTTGATGTTCAGAATAATTCACTGAAGTGGGAGAAGCCATTGCACTCATCTTAAGGAGGAGGAAACCAAGGTTAGTGCTAGCAGCAGGCAGCTGGCACTGGTCCCTTCAGGGCACCTTGCCCACTTCCATTCATGCCTCTGTTGATGTCTGTTACCAGTGCAGCGCCCCCCCACCCCCCGCCCAGCCCCAGGCCACAGTAAAGCAACTGACACTGTTCTCAGTGCCACGCAGCCCAATCCTGCTTGTGCAGAATGAAGATTGCACTTTGCCAAAGTCACGCGTCACAAGGCTGTGGCTCCCCCAGATTCCTTCCTGCCTGTGTTCATGAAAAGCAATTTACTGTGTGTCAAGTAACCTCAGTAGATACCAGGAAGGCCCCGCCCTGCAAGGCCTTGGGCATTGGCTGAGACGGTGGGCTGCCAAGCAGCCTTTGATTAAAGCTGGGAAGGAATGACTTTATGGGCCCAGCCGACCAGAGAATCCAAGACCCTGAACAACTCAGCAAACCTCCAAATGTCCCAGAGCCGCACCCCAGGTACATGTGCCTTCAGGACATCCTCCCCCAGATGCCTGAGGCCTGAGGGCTGAGCCCGGAGCAGGGCCCCCAGCCCCTCCCCTGAGCTGTCCCTGCCCTCCTCTGTGTGCCTAGCTCAGAGGGTGGGCGCACAGCCAGAGTGCCAAGTTATGAATTGGACTGAATGAGGCAGAACAAGGGCGAGGAGGCACAGGCAGTCTATATGGTCCCTCTGAGGACGTATATAGGCCTGGGAGTGTTTAGGAAACTTCTCTAATGGTGGTTGAGTGATGGGTTACTGAGGGAAGCAGGAAATGTCACCTTCAAGATTGACATCAGTGGGGCCAAACTTGGCCCTTCTCAAATCTTTTTGATGTTTTCTGTGGCAAAAATAGAACCTATTCAGATATCCTTCCATCTAGCCATTTACCTGTCCATCCATCCACATGTTTATCCACCTATTCGCTCATCTATCCATCCATCCATCCATCCATCCCACGCAGAGTCCATTTTGTGTCCAACCAGGGGCGGGAAGACATCTCAAAGTGCCAGTGGGCAGGTCCATCATGCTCCTTCTGGATAATAACCATGATATTAACAGTCCTGCTTAAAGTATAAACTGTGCTAAGTGTCAGACACATATTCTCAACATGGACTCCCCACGACAACCGCCGGCATGTGGGTGTGCATAGCAGGCATATCCGTGTCCAGAACCCTCTGTCAGGCTCTTCCCCTCATTCAGTCCCCATGGCTGGACCACAGTGGTGTTGCCCAGGGCTCCCCATGTGCAGGGGATCTGTCACAGGAACCAGGCCACATCTTGAGAAAGGCTTTTGGCATATTGGAGTGTGAAGTGGTTCTTCAAGTGACCAGATTTAGGGCTTCCCGGGTTGGAATGAGGCAGACACAGCGTATTAAAAATGACAGTGGGGAGTGTAAATTATCAGGCATGGCTGCTTAGGTTTATGCACTTTGTTCATAATTCTCGCTCCATTCTGGTGTGACCAGAAATGAAATACATCCAAGCTGTGCCTGTTACCGTGTGCAGATGTGGCGTCTTCCGGCTTATTTATCCTCCCTAATCCACTTGGCAATTTATGGCCCACAAAAGCCGTCCTGCCACAATGCCTCCTGGATTTTCTCCGCTGAGGATCATCCCTCTGTCCTGCCTGCCACAGGGCAGAAAATGGAGAGAGCGGATCGTTCACCTGCTGCTGCCCCGGAGCAGGCTGGAGGGTGCCAGGGCCCTCTGACACAGCCCCTCTGTGGTCCCACCCTCTGTGCCTAAACGCAGGAGTTGGGAGATTAGCTTGCTGAGTGACTGTCAATGCCTCTGAGCCGCTACGAGCCTCCATTCCCCCACCTGGAGTTGGGCTCGAAAACACAGATGCTAACTTCAGCTTCAGTTGCCCAGTGTGGCTGCCCAGAACAGAATGCAGATGTGGCCTCAAAGGTACCACGGGCACTTGGGGAAAATCACCTGTCTCACCAGTAATATCCACCATGACCATGGGCAGAGATGACATATTTGCCACCTGAAGAGAGGCCTCTAAGAGCCTCCTGCTCTGACACGGAGTCTCTGTGATGCTCCTCTGTACAATGGAAGTGGTAATGTTTTTCTCTGTCAGTATGAGGGTTAGACCTGGAGAATCAAAGTTGTACTCCTGTGGCAGCTTGTTAAGCCACTGTTAGCTGGCATGTGCCATGCACTAGACTGGGGGGTCTTGGAGGGCTGGCATCTGATTTATCGCTGGGTCCCTGGCAGCTGGCACAGGGAGGGGGTACCAATGAATGTTTGATGAATGAGTGGTGGCTGGGTGAATCTATGCGATAATAAATGACTGCATTCCCACCTCACTGGGTGTTGTGAAAAATAGCTCCATGTTCTTAAAGGTCATGGGGACAGAGAAGGAAAATGGAATGTAAAAGATAAGCTGCCCAGAGTGTCCAGGGCAGTGAGAGGAGGAACAAGGACTCAAGGCCAGAACGTAGAGGGAGTGAGCAAGGGCGGGCATGCTGTCTGGGAGATAAGCAGGTCTGGGATCCAAAAGAGGGCTGCCTAGGGGCTGGGGCTGCCTTCATCAGAGGACACAGGCACTGGTGACTTCAGTTCAAAATATGACTGTCCTATTGCTTTCTCTGATGATCTGTGGAAAACATTCACGCAGAACAGAGCAAGTACACAGGAAAAAATGAACATCACTCCAAGAGTCACTCACTATTGCAAGGGAACCACTGGTAAGAGTTAGGTGAACCTTTTTCAGACATCTATGTATCTAAACACACATGCACGTGCATATATATTAAACATGAATACAGAGCTGCAAAAATGAGACACTACTCCAAATGCTATACCATAACCCAATTTTGTCATTCAACTGCCTGTTAAAATGTATTCATCTGTGTCATCATTTTAAAGGTGAAGATGTTTCAGCTCAGAGATGGGAAGGCATTTGTCCACATGTCTATTCTCTGAGTTCTCTCTCCCTCCTGCTCTCCCTCCTATGCTTCCTCCCTAAAGGAATAAATTCACCAGAAACAAAGAATTATAAGCCTTGCCATAGACTACATAAATGGGTGGTTTTTAAAATGCTGTTTTTATTTGACTGCACACCCATAAAGCAGTCTGAATGGACTGCAGTGCCAACAAGCATAGATCTGTCTCTTTTCTCTTCTTCTGAAGAACCCAAAGCCTTAATTGAAAGTGCAACAGTGCGTCCTATAACGTGGGAGTTGACAGATGTGATGCAAGCAGGGGCTTGAAATGAGCTTTGCAGTGGGACTTACATGCTCCAGCCACTGCTTGGGAAAGTATGTGTCCCAGCTGGTCTGCTGGTCCCGGGACGCGTGGGGTACCAGCGCCAACCCACAAACCTGGGAGTGAGAAATAAATGCTCACTGCTTTGCACCACTGAGAGTTCAGGTTGCTTGTTCTGCAGCAGGAGCTGCCCGGAACATCAGGGACACACTGCTCAGTCGCTCAAGCTCTGGGGTTCTCAGTTGCCTCGTCTGCAAAAAGGGATGGTAATGACCTACCTGATAGGGCCGTTGCACCACTCAAATGGGTTCCTAGCTGCACAGTTGGCTGTGAGTGTTCGGCTAATAGTGGCTATTACTAATGCGTGACCTTAGAGTGATGCTTCTCAAATCATACAACCTACTAATGGACCATGAAATCAATGGGGTGCGTCACCACTAGCTTTCTCTTTGGAGAGAGTGGAATAGAAAGTTATCACAATACTTCATAATTAGAAAGGGTAAATATTGTTTCGTGCAACTGTTATTTCAGAGTGTAAGACAAATTTCTGTGAGTCACAGTCAAAGGGATTTTAAAGCCTCTGCCTCCTGTAGGTCTGGGCATTGCCTTCCTGGGAGCTGATTCTTATCAAGGAGGCAGGAGAGGAGCTGGGGGGCAGGCAGTTGCCCAGGGCTCTGCGAGCCTCCCCTAGGCCAGCCCCCTGCTCGCTGAGCAGCCAGGCAGAGAAGGCGCTGGACACAGATGGAAGCCGGGAGGCTGCCAGGGGCCGGCCTCCTAGCTTTCTCCTCTCAGCAGCTTGAGGGAGGGGTGCCTGAGCGGGATTAACAGTCCCCTCTATATTCTCCCGCTCCCTGCTCCCTGGGTCCTCCTCTGGCATTAGGTAGAGCCCAGAAGGAACATGGTTTAGCCAGACCCGTGCACAGAGCTCAGCTCTGCCGCTGCTAACAGAGAACTCAGGAACATTCTCCCCTCAATAAAATGAGGCCACATGGGTCTTAACCTCAAAGGGGTATAAAATCCTCATTTTTCAACAAATATTCATTGAGCTCCTTCCAAGTTGAAACAGGGGAGGGGTGGGCGTCACACATGGCTTAAGTAATACTATAAGTAATTGATGATGGCAGCCATTACCATCATCGTTGCTATTGTGTTCTTTCCGCCTTTTGCTGGTTTTCACATGATTCGTTCATTCATTTGCTTATTCAACAAGTATGCAGGGTGCTGAGGACATAAAGATGGCTCAGGGGTCGTCCCTATCTTTCCAGAGACTGACTCTTTATTGACTGACCTACTTTGTTTGGGGGGGTTCAGAGCTCAGAGTTAGGAACCCGATGACCTGCATCTGAATCCTGCCTCTACGTGCCAGCCGTGAGACCTTGGCAAGTTACTCACCAGCCTGTGCGTCCTCCATAACCCGGGTCTTTAGTAAGACCCGTGAGGTGGTTGAGTGGGTCAAGTAAGTGTTATGGAGCCTGAGCACTCAGAGTGCAGACTGGCCGGCGGGGAAGCACCTTGCTAGGGTCTATGGCTGTGATTACTCTGAGTTCAAGTGTGCGACCTGGAAGGGGCCCAGACAACTCTTACAGCTCGGGGAGTGGCAACACACTTCATCCCAAAGGACAATTACCTGCGGTTCTGTGTTGCAAAGATTCTAAGGCCAAATCTAAGTAAAGTCTTGAGTAATCAGAGATGTCAGTGTGGGGGAGGGAGAGGAGAGCAGGACGAGGTTTCCCACACTCGCCCTCCACCACCCAGCCTGTCCGACTGTACAGAGAGGGGGCTGAGCCCCGGACAGGGGCAGGGACAGCCCCTGGGTCTGAGCTCACAGCTGGTCCAGGACTCTTGACTCAGCCGTCCAGGCATCCGTCTCTCCTGCCCTGAGGTCTACTAGGGAAGCCAGACGCATTTTCAAGGCCACCGTGGGTGTGTCCCCTATCTACACCCACTCTGCTGGGGTTCAGTAGCTGGCACCAGGCTTAATTGGGCTTAGGAACATTTGAGGCAAAGTGCAGCCCTGTGAAGTGTGTTCGCTTGAATGGCATTTTTTTGTGATGATGAATGTGCTTGTTTGGATTTGAATGAGACAGAATCAGCAGATATGGTATCATGCTAGAAACCCAAGGGGTGGAGAACCCTCCTTTTTTCCCTTGAAAAAGCATGATTTTTTTTCATATTGCAATTAAACAGTCCTTTGGGCTGATTTTGCTTCTCTGCTGCTGACATTGAAAAATACCAAACAAAGATAGCAGCTCTGCTCTCCTTGAGATGTGCCTCCAGGGTTGAGGAGGCAGCCGCCACCGTCTCTCAGGGGAAAAGAGGCCAAGGATGCCAACATCGTCCTGGGAAACATGGCTTCCCCACCCAAATGGAAATGGCCCCCCGAGCAACTGGGAGACCCCAGCCTAGCTGTCCACAAGAAGGACCACCAGTTCCTGCTGCCTAACCCATTCTCCCCTGGATCACAGAAACCACTCTACTTACTAGCAGCCCGAAGTCCAAATTTCAGGCTGGGGTCTCAGGTCTTCAAGGCTGACATGACAGATAACCTTTAGCAGGAGTCATCTCACGTTTGTAGGGACTGTTGCCATTTGAGGGTGACCGACCCTCCTTCCAAATGGAACAGAGTCTCCAGATAGTAAGAAGCAGGACCACACCTCCCACTTTGGAAATGGAAGCAGAACAGATGGTGTCCTCTCCTCTCCCTGAGGGCACGGGTTTAGAACTTTGCTGGGGCCTTAGATCCTGAAGGGGACACAAAGCAGAAGGGGTCATCAGAGATGGTGGGGCGGAAGTAACCATGGTGGTGAAGAGTGTGGGTCCTGGAACAAGCCACCCAGGTGGGATCCTGGCCCTTCCACCTGCTAATGATTAATCTTGGGCAACTTGCTTCACCTTTCATGGGTCGGTTTACTCACCTAGGAGTTAATACAACTAAAGTGTTGGGCACATCCCCAGACCTACTGAGGGCTCAGTGGAGGTTGGTTGTAGCTGTGGTTTGTGATGGCGATGACAACGGTCCTGCCGATGGAGGTGAGTCCTCCCCGGACACCCAGTCAGAACACCCTGAGCAGGCAGGTCGCAAGCATGGTTGTGCGTGGGTCTGCCGTGGCTTGCCCCCCCACCCTTTGACTCCAATCAATATCCTTTAACAAGTCCCTTTTCTGCTCGAGTTGCTGAAGTCTGTTTTTGTTGTCCTTAGCCAAAGACCCTGACGAGTACATGACATAATTAATCCACAGAATGGTTCAGAGGAAGTTTCAGAATCAATTTGTGTGGTCAGGGCTGCCTCAGATTAAGAGTGTAATATCCGTTATCTCTGATCCTGGGCACCCTCCCTGAAGGGACAGAGAGCCTCTGGTTTCTGCTTGCTCAATAAGTACTTGTAGATTCACAAATGAGATAAGGGACAAGAAGGCTCTAGATGAATGATGAAGGATTTTGCCACTGGTGGGTCATATTTCAGCATAGCATGACAGCATCCTTTGAGGACCTCAGTTCAAATCCTCATCAGTAAAGTTGGAAGAGTAAGATGCAAAGAATTCCAAAAGAGAATATTGTAGCGTGCCACACTGGGAAAGTCAATGACCAGTTTCACTAAAGAATTTTCTAATTTTTTCCAGAGTTTAAGGCAGGAGAAGGACTCTAGAGCTTGGGAACAGGATGTGGCACGGGGCACTGGAGACACACAACTGGGCAGAAGCCTGATGGGCTCCCTCCAGGGTGGAAGTGTGACCTCAGTGTGGCTCTTGGCTCTATTTAGGTGTGCTCAGGCCATTGGGCAGACAGTTTCTAGAACAACAGTTTACCTTGGGACATAGTACTTCTCAAGGGTAGGGTAGGGTGTGGGGAGGGGCCTTCCATTAAATAAACAAATCATAATAAGTGATTTTAAAGTTAGACTGTTGGGTTAGAGTTGTAATAACATCACCAACTCAATGTGTGACCTTGGGTTAGTTAATTGATCTCTCTGAGCTATAATTTCCCAATTTGTCCTCAAAAGGCTTTTGTGAGGATTAAGCATGGTGTCTTAACAACTGGTGGGAACGGTGTTGTGGTGATGCAGAGTTTATTTGGTTAATACCCTCCTAGCATGTTGACTTTACCTCTAGGCCTCTGCCAGTACTAGATGAAAGGAAGCTCAGTGAGAGCAGGGATTCTGCTAACACCAGACTTTGGTCTTCTTGGGGCTTCAGAGAGAGGATTTCTTGGGGCTCACGAGTCTCTGGAGCAAAGCTCACCCCAGTTCTGGTATCCAAGAGGGTACCTGGTTCACAGACAGTGGGGGGTCCCCAAGTGGGAGCCGCACTTATTATTTTGGGCACAGAACCCCATTCAGAGAATGGATGAGTTTAATTGCAGGAAGATTGTGAATTATGTGATCCTTTCATTCCTGTAACCGTGACTTTCAGACACCTGCTCCATTCAAGAAAAAAAATAGGTTTAAATTGAAAAATGCTTCTTCTGCAGTCTTTAATCACCACCTCATTGAAGTTTGTGGTACAAAATGTCTTCTGTTGGAGAAGTATATGAGAGCGATGGGCAAAACCTGAGGAGGGAAGGCAGAGCCCTACGTGTGGGAGCAACACATCTCCTTTCACTTGGCTGGCATGGGGACTCTCCAGACTTAGGGACAGGGTCAGTAAAGCTCATCCATGACCTTATCAGAATATTTCACATCCCTGACAGCAATATCTGCAAAAAAATATAAAGTCCCATGAAAATGCTTGTGTTAATACTTTGAGTGGGAAAAAAAACAGATGATCCTGATTAAAAACTAACATTTCTCACCTTAAAGAAAGACTGGAACTTTGCTTCCACCAAAATGGGGTAGCAGGGAGCAGACTTATCCGCCCACCTAAAACAGGTAAAACACTAGGCAACAATGGTCTTAGACACTGAAGAGCACAGGACGGTAACTCCTGAGAGGGGAGATTCCTTCTCAAATCAAGGAATGAAACTTGACTTGCCCCAGTGTGCTGCCTGGAGTAGTTTTCAGGATGTGGGGTAGGGGAGGAACCCAGATGGAGCCTGTGCCCCCTGAGCTGAGGAGACAGAGTAAAAGTCCAGGGAACCCAGACAACCAGAGCTCACAAGGCAGAGCACCATGGAAAAGGAGGCTGCCCAGAGAGAAGGTTCTAGAGACCTGCTTTCCTTGTGCTAAGAACTGAGGAGACGACTCCAGGCTAGAGAAGGAGCCACTAAAAAGGAACAAAGAACGTAACATCAGAAGCCCCAAAGGTAGGAAATATTTGTGTTTCAACCAGCCATCAATGCAAAGTTGTTAACACAGTTTTACCAAATGGAAAACAATTTACAAAAAGGATAACACACTAGGTGGAGTTTCTTCTAGGATCGTAAGAGTAGATATTCGTAAAGCAATCAGTCCACTATGTGACAGACCAAAGAAGAAAGAAGGACACAATGATCTTTCCCATCCCCCGCCCCCAGGACACAATGATCTTTATAAAAGAAAAAAATGTTCAACCAAATTTAGTCTCTCTTCAAGATAAAAATTGTTCTCAGCAAACTAAAGATAGAAGGAAATTTCTCAACCTGATGAAAGGTATTTACAGAAATCCTTCAGCTAAAACTATACATTGTGGTAAAAGACTGAATGCTTTCTAAGAAAATTAAATGCTTTCCAGGATCAGGATGTCTTCTCTGGCACTTCAGTTCAACATTATGCTGTTGGGTTTAGCCAGTGCAATGAAGCAAGAAAAAGAAATAAAATGGTTATAGATTGGAAAGGAAGAAATAAAATCTCTTTATTCACAGAAGACTTGATCATTTATGTAGAAAATCTTATACCTCCTACAAAAAAGCTACTAGAAATAATAAGGAAGTTCAACAAAGTTGCAGGATGCAAGAATCAATAGTATTGCAACATACGGTCCATTGGAAATTGATAGTTTAAATGTAGTAACAGACTCCAGGCAGTGGTCAGTGATCAGTATGATTTTCCACCCCCCAAGGAGAGCTGTTGGAAGAGTACTGTCTGCTCCTCTTCTCCATCTATAGCTTCCATCCTGGTACCCCAAATGCCCACCACCTACTGTGCTCAGGAATTCATTTAACCCCTGGGAAGGACCAGACTGGATTCCAGGCAGGTATGGCACAGACAGGAAATAGCAAAGGTGACTTTGGTGAATGAGAGTAGCAGACCCTGGGGGCTGGGGGAGGGAAGGACCAGGGCCAGGGTGGGAGTGGAGGTGTGATGGCCCCCAACTCTCTCACCTGTGCTGTGTTAGGGGGTTTGGGGATCAAAAGAGAATGGGTAAAAAAAATGAGCATGAGGGGCCTCCCCGGTGGCGCAGCGGTTGAGCGCTGGGTTGCGAAGCTGCCCACAGCCTCTGCAGCACCGGTTCTATCCCTGGCTGCTCCCCGGCCACCGGAGGAGGGTCCCACATGGCGCGCAGACCTCTCCTGCCGCCCGCTGCTCCCCTCAGCAGTGTACTTCGGTCCTTCTGCCTGCTCTGCTCTGGTGAATTCTCTCAGAATTCTGACTGTACCCAGTGCTTGTATGTATAAATCAATCAATCAATCAATCAATCAATCAATCAATAAATCTTTAAGAGAAAAAAAATGAGCATGAAACAACCAGATTCAAAGGCTTGAGTTTGGACAGGAACTAGGAAGAGTGAAGTAGGCAGGTTTGAGAAGCACTTAATGGCAGCATGAAGGGGTTGGATAAGTAACTGGATTTGGTGACTGTGGGTGGGGGGAGAGGGAGAGAGAGGAGTATGGGTGAGGCAGGGCCAGGGTCATGCTATTCACCAAGGCAGAGATTGCAGGGAGAAGAAGGGACTCAGAAAAACCTGAGTTCCACTTGCAAAGGTGTATTTGGGTGCCCGCGGGCATCAGGCCCTTGTCCAGGGGGCTGCTGGCCATGTGTTCTGAACAGGCACCACAGCGGTGAGCAGAGACAAGTGTCTGAAAACCTGGAAGTGATGGTACCCAGGGAGAGGGGAGAGCAGGACAGAGGAGCGGGGGGCCAGGTGCCAGGAGCGGGGGGCAGGGCACCTATGTTAAGGGAGGATCAGACTTTGGAAAAGAAAATGAAAGCGAGTGGCCTGTTTCCCTGCCAGCTCCTTCCTGGCTGTGACTTGAGACAGCATACGGGAGAGAAGGGGAGTGGGGGAGGACTCTGGCCCTGGAACTGGAGGCCCTCCCAGAGGTGCCAGACAAAAGTGCCTATCCCAAGGAACAAGCCAACCTTGTGTGCTGACGTCCCAGTCCAATTTGTGTGTGTGTGTGTAAGATTGGACCGTGTCTTTTGTCCACCAGCCCTTCTGCTTTTAACTTGTTCATTTGCTTATTCATCCAACAATGGCTGCTGAGCTCCCCTCACATGCCAGACATAGGCTGGTACTGAGGATACTCTTAGACAGGCAGGTGGCAGCCAGGTTACTGAGGTGACTGGCAATGACCCCCAGGGGCTCTCTAAGATTGTCACCTCCAAACCTTTTTCTTCTCTGTTTCCAGTATTTCATCCTCCCTTATTGTTGGTACCTCCTACCCCCGGTGCCTGGCCCTGGCTCCTCTGTCTTTCTCTCCACTCTCCCTGGGTAACAGCTCCACTCTTGGGGCTTCCAGACGCTCTCCTCTGCTGACCACTATGGTGTCTGCACCCAAACCAAACCAAACCAAACCAGACCAAACCAAACCTTCACAAAGTAGAAGCAGGTGTCTTTCTAGTCCTTTCTCCTCCTTATATTCTCTACGTTGGTGAATAGCTTTGAGCCTGACCCCAGAGTTCCAGTGTCTGGAACTCTGTCTTCCCTCTCCTAATAAATCCAGTTACATCATCAGGGTCCCATTGATGATGCCTGGTAAGTTCTTGAATCTGTCCACTTCTCTCCCTTACCCTAGTACCTGTGCAAGTTCGGGCCCTCATATCTGACTGGTTCCCTCTCATTCCATACCTATCTTCCTTTAGCTTTAAACTTCCCTTACTTGTTAGTTGCAAGTAACACAAGCCTAACTCAAATTGGCTTAAGCAAAAAATTGAATTTATTGACTCACATAATTAAAGAGTTCTGATGACTTTAGGCACGGCTGGATCTAGGAGCTCAAATAATGTCAATAGGACTTGGTTTCTCTGCATCTGGTATGTCCATTTTTATTTCCACACACCCCCCCTATCACTTTCTCCACATTGGGATGGACAGAAAGAGAGATTTCTTTCTTCCATGCAGATCTAACCAGAATCCCAGGCTTTCACTGACTGACTGGGTTGCAAGTCCATTCTTTTTTTTTTTTTTTTTTTTATATATAGAGGCATGCTTTCTTTCTTTCTTTCTTTCTTTCTTTCTTTCTTTCTTTCTTTCTTTCTTTCTTTCTTTCTTTCTTTCTTTCTTTCTTTCTTTCTTTCTTTCTTTCTTTCTTTCTTTCTTTCTTTCTTTCTTTCTTTCTTTCTTTCTTTCTTTCTTTCTTTTCTTTCTTCTTTTGTTTATACATGCACTGGGTACAGTCAGAAGTGCGGGAGGGTGAGAGAATTCACCAGAGCCAGAGCGGGGAGCAGAGCAGGCAGAAGGACCGAAGTACATTGCTGAGGGGAGCAGCGGGCGGCAGGAGAGGTCTGCGCCCCATGTGGGACCCTCCTCCAGTGGCCGGGGAGCAGCCGGGGATCGAACGGGCGCCGCAGAGGCCGCAGGCAGCTTCGCAACTCAGCGCTCAACCGCTGCGCCACCGGGGAGGCCCGCAAGTCCATTCTTAAACTAGTCCTTGGGGCATGTCTGGGTCAAGTGCTTATGCTTGAAATTAGCAGTGGGGTTGGCACCATTTAATACACATAGACAGCAAGTAGGAGAAGGAAGGTTCCTCCAAGAAAATCAATGTCTCTGTCAAGGTGGGTCGGATGGACCTGAAATTGGTGTCAGGAGAAACCACCAACCCCACTTTAGACAGGAAAGCACTAACCAACAAGAAGCTGTAAAAAGTTTTGCTAAGCGAAACCAGCATTAATTATAGTCATTTACACAATGCATTTTCTATTTCTTCCCAGTTATCATGCCATGCAATCAGCATCACACACGTCTTTACGTAGGTGTGCGATTGACTTGTTGTATGTATTTAATTACAGTGCTGAGCATTCTATGATGCTTTCCTGCACAATGCATCACACACTCTTGAGCAAAGCTTCCTCCCCTTGTCCTAAAATAACTAGGGAAGACCTCCCTTCAGCCCCACTGTATCCTCTGCCACTCCAGGGTAGTCTGAGCTTACTGTGGAACTGATTTCAGAATGGACTGGCCCAAACACTTGGCTTTAGGTCAGAGCTAAACCTGCCCAGTATGGGTGTCATGGGAGTAGGGTCCCAAGACTGACACCCTTCCTGCCATCCTGATCTTCTGTGTTGGATTTAATGAAGAAACAGTAGAGTGGGCTCCAAGAAATGACTCTACTAGGGGATCCCCAGGAATCTCTTGTAACCAACACCCCCACCCCTCACCCTAAGATGATCTGTTTCTGCCTTCTTTGATAAATAGGAATGACTATCTTGGAAAAAGTTACCCCTGGTGGGAGCTTTGCAAGGACCTTTCATTTCAAAGGACTAGGTCAGATGCATATGGTTTCTTGAAGATACCTGACTCTCTGGACTTTGTGGGAGAGGAAGAGCAGGGACCCTGGTTTGCTGTGTTTACATCACAGTTCCTAGGTGTGCTTTGTGGCCAAGTTGTCATCAGTCTTGGGGTGCCCCCTGCTGGCCATAGCCTTGAATGACGTCCAGCCGAGCTCAGGCCTCCACTGTGTGGACAGAGGATCATAGGGCAAGCCTCACAGTACTGGTCTGCTACTCAGGTCTAGATGTGTCCAGGCCCAAGAACGGGAACCTCTGCAAAGTCCAAAGCCCAAAAAGCTCTGGAACCTTCAAGACCTAAGGACCATTATAAGCCACCACATAAGTGATTCTCCTGTGAGAACCAATCACTATCCCTTCCCCAACCTCCTTCCTTAATGCCAAGCTCTCTCATGCCTCCCCTGTTTCATGATGTACTCCTGGCCTCTTGCCAGCTCACCCTTTCTCATCCCTGGCCCAGCTTAGCCCAAACACCACCTCTGCCAGAAAACCTCTCTGACCTCCCACCAGGAGACCCCTCAGGGTTCTACAGTCAGGGATTCCCTCTGTCTCTGTCATAATGGTCTGCAGCTGGTTCTGCACCAGCACCAGAATGGGAGCCCCTTCAGGGGAGAGTCCTGTCTCCAGCACCTGCACAGGGCCTGGCCCCCAGGAGGGGCTCAGTCAGGGCTGGTGGTGAAGAAAGCGGCCCAGGAAGGAGCAGCCCCACTCTTGGGGCTTCCCAACACTCTCCTCTGCTGACCACTGTGGTGTCTGCACATGAGGACCCCTGCTTGTCCAGACACGAGGCCTGGTGTGGGTGGCCATGGGGAGAGAGCTCCTTCGTCTACTTCCCAGCATCTGTCGGGCAGCCTGCTGGGCAGAGGCTGGGGACTGCCATCACCTTGCCTAGGGGAGCTGCGGTCCCTCCCGGAGGATTCATTCATTCACATACAAGTGGGCACTGGGCCTGGTGAGGGCTTCCCACAGGCTGCCTCCCCAGAAAGACACCTCCCCATAACGGAGAAGGGGAGACTGTGGCCCATCCACAGCCGGGGCTGCTCCCCTTCCTTCCTTTACTGGTTGGTTGTCAGCGGTCTCTAGTGTGTTGTATGGAAATACACTCACATATATAATTTACCTATTTAACACAGTTGGACAAGATTTGACAGTAAAAATGTAGACATTTTCATCATTCCCCAAAATTCCCCTAGCACCCTCTTTAGTAGATCCCCCCACCCAACCCCCAACCCTGGCCAATGGTCTTTCTCTCTCTCTCTCTGGCATTGTAGCTTTGTCTTTGCCAGAATCTCACAGAAATAGACTCATACAGCATGTATCCTGAGACTGGCTGCCTTCATTCTGCAGTGTTTCGAGATCATCCGTGTCGTTGCATGTCTCCGTAGGTCATTGGACATTGCTGGGTCATATTCCGTACTAAGAATAAACCACAGTTAGTTTAATCCAGTCCCCGGTTGAGGAGGCTACCCCTGCCCCTTCCTAGCCTGGCTCCTCTGTCTTTCTCTCCCCTCTTCCTGGGTAACAGCCCCACTCTTGGGGCTTCCCGACACTCTCCTCTGCTGACCACTGTGGTGTTTGTACCTGAGGACCCCTGCTTGTCCAGACACGAGGCCTGGTGTGGGTGGCCATGGAGAGAGAGCTCCTTCGTCTACTTCCCAGTCCTGCAGGAGCAGGTGCATGAGGATGAGATAAAGGAAAAGGATCTGAGAGGCATGAAGCTCTGACTCTGGCAGCTGTGCCTTTACAAGAGCCTGTGTCTCTCTGGGTCTCAGTTCTTGGGACCTGAGTAAGAGGAGACTCTGACCACTCTTCGAGAGTTGTGGGCAAAGCTAGCACCCGGAAGATCTGAGTTCAAGCCCCAGTTTGTAATCTGATTAGATCCAAGGTGGGACAGGAGGCCCAGGATCCTCGCTATACCTCTCCCTGCCACAGCCCCAGGGCAGCTGGGAGCTTGCCTCCGCACTCTGCATTGCCAGTCTCTGCCTCAACCAGGAGCTGCAGGCAACGATGATGTAACTGGCCCTCCAACATGAAAAGAAGCCTGACATCTATTCTAAAGGCTAAAAACTCAACTAAAAAACCATATCCTTAATGTTTCATATCCTCAGTGTTGTGCCTTTTTTTTGTTGTGGATCAATAAAGTGACCTCCTTTCTTTTCAAATGCATGCTGAACTTCCTTTCAAATATATTTTTATTATACTGTGTTCATTGTTACTCACTCCCTGCTTTCAAAATGTATGTTCAAAAAGATTTTCAACTATTAAAATGTGTTTGCTTGTGTGAGAAGTATCCTTCCCTTGGGAAGCCCCAAAACAGTTCCTGGGAAGGTGGTGAGGATGGATCTTGGCCTAGACTCATGATAAAAGAGACCTGAAAAGTCTCTCATGATAAAAGAGACCTGAAAAGTCCTCAGCCTGTGCTGAGGACTGAGCTGTGTTCCCTGCACACAGACTTGAGAAGGAGACACTTGCAAAGACCGGGGGTTTTCACACAGGGCCCGGCTGCCGGGTTACACCTGGTGAGCAGAAGTTGCTCAGACATGGTGTAAGGAATCATCCTCTCCCCATTGCTACCGTCTGTGGCGGCTCCACTTCCTCACGAGCTCCCCCACTTGTTACCTCTCTCCCTCACAATGGTCCTAGTCATGGGTGTTACTATCTTCATTTCACAGTTACTGCTCTCATTTTTTGCAGAAAACAAACTCACAACCCAAACACAAGTCACCCAGTTACATCCGCAGGCAGAGACAGGGCGAGAGTGCTGGGGAACGTTGGAATCCAGAGCCCACCGTCCTGGAATGAACTTGTGAGGGATGAATGCCGGGCGACCAGGGTATCTCCCTGTTTTGCCATGTGCCTTCCCGTGTAATGTCTTGCCCTCTTGAGTACTCAACAACATTAACAGATTTGTTAAACGTGGGGTCTTCTTTGATCTCTTCTGTGTGCCACTCGAGGTTTTGACATATGCGCGCCATCTGTGAAACCATCTCGCCACCAAGAGAGAATTTATCTATCACCCTCAAAAAGTTTCCCCGCGCCCCTTAGAAATCGCTTCCTCCTGCTCACCGGCTTCCAAACAACCAGTCTGCTTTCTGTCACTGTACATACATACTTTTGTTTTGTATGCTTTTTTTCACTCAGAATAATGATTTTTTTTACTCTTTTAAAAAAAGATTTATTTATTTATGCATAC